CTCCAGCTCCCTGGGGGTCCAGGATGGGGCCCATCGTTTCCGGCCCCGGGGGCTTCCTCCCCTGCCCCGGGTGACGGTGGCTGACGACCACCTGGAGCTGCCATGCCTGTGCTGAGGTGGCTGGGCAGCACAGTTGCCACGTGGCAGAGCTGGGAAGGGTGGTCTCCGGGGGGCTCCTGCCACGTGCGGCCAGTAGCGTGCGCGCTCTTTAAGCCCTCGGGTTACACAGAAGTCCGCGGCTTCTACGGTGTCTCCCGCTGTCCAAACCGCTTTTTTCCGTTTCTTCTGCTTTTCCGGAAAAGCTGTCTACACTGGCCCTTTTCCGGAAAAGCTTTTCCGGAAAAAGGACTTTTGCCCGAGTGGGAGCAGCGTAGCGTTTCCGGAAAAGCGGCTGATTTTGTACAGTACAGCGTCGATGTTTTTCCGGAAATTCAAGCGGCCAGTGTAGCCAGCTCGCAGCTTATTCCGGAAAAGTGGCTGCTTTTCCGGAATAAGTGGCCCAGTGTAGACACAGCCTAGCATTTTTGCATGATGTATGCCCAGGGTGTGTACAAACAGTTATAAATACATGCTGGAAATATTACTACAATTTGTTCAAACCAGGCATTATAGGGGAGATGGTAAACAGATCTGTCTTAGACAAAGGAATGTGTATTTGATTCTCTGACCAGCTTGTTCTTCAGACAAATACAATTAACTGTTAAGTAACAAGAGAGTAAAAAACTCAGAGCTTCCTTTATCACCAGACTTTATGTTGCCTTGCAGTTTGAATAAACTTTATTTTGAGGTGTGAGCCTCAGAAGAATCCATTTAAAAGGTTTATTAGTCTATATAGAAGGGGTGTGTGAACCTCAAGTGGTAAACAATTGAATTAACTGTATATAATATTATTACATTGTAAGAGAGAGATCTTTTATGAAACCCTATGACACAATAGTGATTAATAACAGGATGAACTGCATGTGTTAACACTGAACAGGAAATTATGAATACTCATTGATATTAGGCTTTCCTTTCTGTGACTAAGTGGAAAAACAAGCTTTCCTACAGATAGGAGGGAAGGCAGCTGTCCATCTGCCTCCAATGAAACTATGGAAATTATCCGACCAAAAATACTGGAAGCTGTATTTACACAGAGACCAATAGGGGGAAGTGAAGACCACAAGAACGAAAAACAGCATGAGGTCCTGCTGCCTCTTGAAAAGAAGTTAACTGAACTTTGGAAGATAAAAGCAAGGACTTACACCATCTTTGGCATCCATTACCAGACAGACAAAAGGAAATAGAGCTCTTGGAAAAACCTGTGTCCTTCCACCAAAGATGGGAGAAGAGGGAAAGGAGGAAGAAAGGACCGAAAGTTTCTGGAAACCGAATATAGGTGAGAAACCCTGTTGAACAAGGCCTGTACCCTGCTAGATTACATGTATGTTTTCACTTTTATTTGTTTTATTCCTTGGTATCACTTGACATACATCCCATGTTAATACATTTGTTTTATTTTTACTATAAACCAACTCGGTGTTGTGTTTAAATGGAAGGGTTGTTTACCCCAGTTAAGTTGAAAAGCTGTAAGATGATGTTGTGTGTTCAAAGAAATAACATAGTTCATTTGTTCTCTTAAGTTGCCCCAGAAAGGGATGGACGGTACACAGCTTATGTTTCTGTGAAAATTTGGGATTGGAAGTGTGTTGGGGTCCCTTTGCTGGTTGTAACCAAGTCTGGTGGAAGCCAGAGTGGAACTGCATACAGGGATCAGAACTGCTGAAATAAGGCTGTCTAGAACACAGGAATTTCAGGGTGTGACCTGCATACCTGTAGACTGGCTGTGAGAATCCCAAGTTGCTACAGTAGCAAAGCATTGTAAAATGCAGATTGCAGGGCAAATAGCGATACAACCTCTCCCCCAAACTAATGTGCATTGCACACTGATCCATAACAAGATAGAGGTATATGTACCTAAAATTACTCATGTACACATTTGCATGATCAGAACCTGAATATGGAGAAGGTAAATCAGGTGTTTTTAGCTATTACTGGGATACAATTTGAAATGAAAAGATAAATGGATTTATAAGTGGTGAAAATTTTTTTTTAAAAGTGTGCACTTAACTGTGGAACTCATTACCAGAAGATACGTAGATTCCTAGAGTTGAGTAGGATTTTAAAAAGAGTAGGATAGTTTTATAGTTAATGAGAACTTTCACGGTTATGTTAGTGTGAAGGGTTTAGATGACTCAATGGGCCAATTAACTATCTAAGCTGCATCTGGAGGAGATGGCAAGGACTAATTAGAGATGAGAGTCAGCTGCACAGATAAAGACTGGTATTGTATAAAGCCAAGAAGCTGGTCGTTATAGAAAGAGAGACCCACAATCACTCTCTGGGTGAGAGAAGGTAAGATATATGTAAAGCCTTGGACATCCACATCTGCAGATATCTGCAGCTCACTTTTGTATCTAGAACCCAGCAAATTTGTGGGTATCTGCATCCACGGATGTCAGTGTGGATATCCGCGTCTCATTTTTGCAGATACAGATGTGGATACAAATTTTGTATCCGTGCAGGGCTCTAAAGATATGATGGAGCCCAGGGATACAACAGTAAGGTTTAGCAATGTCTGACACTGACTGCTTGTTGTAGGGTTCTGGGCTAAAGAGTGGGCCCAGGTTACTCTATCAGCCACGGGGGAAGTGGCACTCCTAAAGGGCAGTGAATGGGAGGAATGTCTGAGGGTACGTCTAGACTACCGGGTTTTGTCGACAGAAGTTTTGTCGACAAAGAGCATCCAGACACATTGAGTTCTGTCGACAAAGCAAGCTGCTTTGTCGACAGAACCCTGTAGTCTAGACGCAACCCTACAGGCATTAACATCTTCTGTCGACAGAAGGTGTTATGCCTTGTAAAATGAGGTATACCAGCGTCGACAAAACTGCTGAGTTCTGTCGACGTTATGTCAACAGAACTCAGCGGTAGTGTAGACGCTGGTATAGTTTTGTCAACAAAAGTCCACTTTTGTCGACAAAACTCAGTAGTCTAGACACACCCTGAGACAGTGAGATCCAAGACACTCTGATACTACAGGAAGAAGGACTACATTGACCTGGCTGGAGAACTTGGAGAGAAGCTGAATACTGAGGGAGTGAGGCACAGAGAGTGATGGAGTGCAACTACAGGAAGAGGCATTGGCCTGGCAGAGGTAATTCCCATCAGTGAGTAAAGAACCCCAGGCCATTTAGATAAAAGTATTTAACAGCATAAATCCTTGTTCTATAGAGAATTAACTAATTACTAACTGTCTGGTATTACCAAAAAAACCCTCTCTATATATGCAGGCCATTAAATAATTTTCCATTTATATACTTTCTTGATCCTTACTCTGAAACATCTGGTACTAACCATTGTTAGAGACAGAATACCTGACTAGATAGGCAGACTATTAATCTAATCTGGTATGACACATTTCTATGTAATGTTCCACAAGACTCTTTTCCACCATAAACATTGCTGTTTATCCTTTAATTATCATTTGTCCATTGTCTTTTTGCTGATTTTCAATAAACATGACAGATTCTATATTCAAGATTTGAAAAAAACTGTCAACTAACATTTCATGAGACTCATACAAGCATGATTATGGGAATGGCCTGTTTCTAGTGTATGCTTCCTTTGTGAACCAGAGAATTGTCAGCAGACACTTATGCAGATCCCCAGAATATACTTTATGTATTAAAAATGGAAATAGCGCCCTTAGTTGTCCTAACATTAGTAAGAAAAACTGCATTCACTTTTATAGGGGAAAATGTATTCTAATGAGTATCTTGCACTCAGATTTTTTTTTATGATGACCAGAAAAATTATTACTGGAAGGGGGAAAACAATAGTATATCTAATGTGAAAGTTCATATCTGCACAAAGCAGTGTAGTATATAAATTTGCACTTACTTTCATTTTTACTGTTCTCTCCCAAACATAACTTGGCAGCTTCTACTGCTCTTGGACTGGTAAAAATTAATCCCCCATAACAATCTGGATGAGAAAGCTACCAACACACAATTTAAAAAATATATTTAGATAACCTCTGGTAAGTTACAGTAAATATTACATGTTTACAGCATGAATTTTACAATCAAATATTTTGATCACTTAATAAAAATAGCAGAAATATTAATCAGATTGATAACAAAAAGGTGAACAAACTTTCAAACAAGATGTTAACTCTGAAAACCTGAATTTAAGAACAGACAGATTCTTTTCATCAGACTAAAATGTGAGAATAGTGTATGGTGGATATGAAATTCTTATAGGGAAAGTTAATAATTATTACTAGCAGTAACCCAGAAAGTAGCATGAGGTCAGGACTTGACTCACTGCCAGGATGAAGAATAATTCAGATCACTGGCTGTCTATGCAAAAAACACCACCATTTTTTTCTGGTTTTTTTCCTGACCTATTAAGAGTCCTAAATTCTAGACTATTTTCTTGCAAGGCAGCAGATACACATCCATGGCAAAGGCCTCTAGCGACTATGGACTAGTATTATAGCCATTGCAAGACTGGACATAGATCATCCCAGTTGAATCGGTCAGGTTAGTTACATTAGACGGGACTACACACCATCTTAGGATTTCAAGGGTAGGAGGCTAGGTTAGCATGTTCAGTGAAGTTCTTCATTGTCATTCTAGTTATTACAGTGATACAATTTGAAATGAAAAGATAAATATGTTTAAAACTTGTGAAAATATTTTAAAAAAACAGGAGCAGTTTTGAGAGATGAGACTAACAAGATACATACTTATGGAGGGGACTGGAGTTGAGGAAAAGTTCTTTAGCTCCCTATCAATTCAAGAAAGAAACAGCACGGAGGGGATATTATTAAAGCAGGATTAGTCTCTGTAGTTTGGCAGTCATGGGGCATAATTTCTTCAACAGGACTATTAAAAGGTTTAAATCTTACCTTCTCAAAGAAACTTTGAAGAGACACAAATTCAAATGACAAAACAGGGATTAAGGTTGCCTCAAATCCATATAATCCCAATTCCTGTGGATAAAAGTGTACCTAGTCATTGGAACGCATTACAAATACTGATTATTTATATTTAAAATAATGGGCTATTTAGTAGCAGAATTATTCAACTACTTTTCTGAACTAAAATCCAACAGTTTATGGATTTTTTTATTTGTTGGTGAATTTAGTGCTGCTGAAAGATACTGAATGGACAGCCCTTCTATTTATCTATTGAAGAAGTATAGTATAAACTGTCTCACATCATTGATGTGCCTTAGTACTGTACCTAAAAGCTCAATCCTGCAAATTGGTAAATACATATGAAGGTTCTTTAAAGCTAGTGGGACTATCTGCATAAGTAAAAACTGCCTCATGAACAGAGTCTGCAGAGAAAAGGCCAATTCTAAGGGTAATAGGTATTTCTGTATCCAATTATGTTATTGGACTCTCAACTGACAGTTAAAATTTTTTGCAACAATTATAAAATATTGTAATCGTAATTATGATCTACTTGAAAGCAAACTGACATTCATTCATTTACCCAGTTAAAAACTAAGTTCAATAACAACCCCTCTTTCAGCCTCACAATGGATGATTACTCAGCTAAAACTATTTTTTAAAATTGTCAAGTTATACTGGTAAGTAAGTTTTCTCATTAGATGCTAACATTTCAAACACTTTTCCCCTAGCTTTTTGACTGAATAGGCTTTTGATTGTAACACCCAAACATATCTATCTTGTTTAATTGCTAATTATTCATATTAATTATAATATTGAAAATTAAGAAACAATGCAAGGGATAACCTTTTTGCCCCCACCCCCAATGTCACTTACTTGAATATAAGGATCTGGTCCTGAGTCTCTGTCTTTGGGCTCCTTCAGTAACAGAACCTTCATTGTTTACCAAAGAATGGCTAAAGAACACTGAAACACAACAAAGAAATATCTCAGTTAGATCTAGAGGACATTTCTCTGTACAATGGCAGTAAAAGTCATACACCAGAAGAAACAGGATAATTGAGAGATGCACTATGGTTTACATGATGAGTAAGCAGTTAACGAACATTCTCTGGGAGTGAATATCCACCCTGATAAGGCCAGCAGAAAGCATGTTGGTTTTGGATGATATATCTTACAGAGAAACAAACAATAAAAATGAACAAAAGATTGCACTTTAAAAGAAAACACTTTCTAATAAAAGGAATAATAACCTCTATATTAACAAAGTAACATAATGAACTTACAGCTTTTGCTATTTTATCCTATATCGGTTCCTATACCTACCTCATTACATGCTATTTAAGCAGCATCCAAAGGTGCACTAAGTGACATGACTAACATCTGTCACATTTATTCTTTTGTCCTCTCCCAGAGAAAAAAAAGTATCTGTAGTAGAGTGTTTTATCTTGGAATTTATTTTTAAAATATGTACATTTCAGAGCACACATTTAGAAATGAAGTCAACAGAAACTTTGAGAGCTCAATATGTCTGAAAATCAGGCCCCACTGAAGTCAATAAGACCAGCTATTCATACTTAAAATTAGGTATAAGACATGAAAGTGACATCTCTGCTACAGGAGGATGCAATATCAGAGCTGTCAGTAGAATTCATAATAATACTTCCTATTGTTGAAGTGTTGATCATGTCACCTGAGATAAGTCTCGGAGGGGTAACCGTGTTAGTCTGTAACTTGAAAATAATGAGTAGGCCTGTGGCACCTTAGAGACTAACAAAAATATAGTGTCCTGAGCTTTCGAGGGCAAAATCCACTTCTTCAGAAGATGAGCTGGAGTAGAAAAGCTGAGATAAGGTTGTGATGAAAGCTGCATGATAGTAAGTCTGATTTTGACACACATATCCTCTTACATTTTCATCTGAGGAAGATATTCCCATGAACATTTTTATACTTAATTTAAAGAGGCAGCAAATATTTTGGGAGTTGTAATAGAGCTTTTTTTCCCCTTGGAAATAAATATATTTATCATTTTTCAGACATTTATAACTTTGAAATAAAATTCCATAAACTATAAAGTCAAACTAAACAAAGAATGGCATACCCTCTTGGCAGGATATATGATATTAGAATTTTGATTTTGAAACAAAAGGCATTCACTTTTCCTATTTACTATATCTCCACTAGTCACCCTACCATGTAGAATCATAAAATACTAAAACAGGAAGGGACCTCGAGAGATCATCAAGTCCAGTCCCCTACCCTCATATAAGGACCAAGAACCATCTAAATCATCCTTCATAGATGTCTGTCTAACCTGCTCTTAAATTATCTCATTCCACAACCTCCCTAGGCAATTTATTCCAGTGTTTAACCACTCTGAGGCTGTCTAGACTGCATCCCTTTTCCGTAAAAGGGATGCAAATTAGACACATCGCAATTGCAAATGAAGCAGGGATTTAAATCCCCCCCGCTTCATTTGCATAAACATGGCTGCCGCTTTTTTCCGGCTCGAGCTTTGCCGGAAAAAAGCACCAGTCTAGATGAGGATCTTTCAGAAAATAAAGCCTTTTCCGAAAGATCCCTTATTCCTCTTAAAATAAGGAATAAAGGATCTTTCGGAAAAGGCTTTATTTTCTGAAAGATCCTCATCTAGACTGGTGCTTTTTTCCGGCAAAGCTCGAGCCGGAAAAAAGCGGCAGCCATGTTTATGCAAATGAAGCGGGGGGGATTTAAATCCCTGCTTCATTTGCAATTGCGATGTGTCTAATTTGCATCCCTTTTACGGAAAAGGGATGCAGTCTAGACAGCCTCAGAGTGGTTAAACACTGGAATAAATTGCCTAGGGAGGTTGTGGAATGAGATAATTTAAGAGCAGGTTAGACAGGAAAGTTTTCCTAATGTACAACTCAAATCTCCTGTGCTGCAGTTTAAGCCCATTGCTTCTTGTGCTATCATCAGCGGCCAAGAAGAACAATTTCCCCCCTCCTCCTGTGACATCCTATTAATATCTAAAACCCGCTACCATGTCCCCTCTCAGTCTTCTCTCTTCCAAACTAAACAAGCCCAGTTCTTTCAGCCTTGCCTCATAGCTGTTTTCTAGACCTTTAATCATTTTTGTTGATCTTCTCTGGACCTTCTCCAGTTTTCCACATCTTTCTTGAAATGTGGTGCCCAGAAATAGACACAATACTCCAATTGAGGCCTAATCAGCACAGAATAGAGAGGAAGAATTACTGCTTGTGTCTTGCTCACAACACTCCTGTTGATGCATCCCAGAATCATGTTTGCTTTTTTTGCAACAGTGTCATACTGTTGACTCATATGTAGCTTGTAGTCCACTATGACCACTAGATCCCTTTCTGCAGTACTCCTTCCAAGACAGTCGCTTCCCATTCTGTACGTGTGAAATGATTTGTTCCTTCCTAAGTGGGGTACTTTGCATTTGTCCTTATTAAACTTCATCCTGCTTACCTCAGACCATTTCTCCAGTTTGTCCAGATCATTTTGAATTATGACCCTGTTCTCCAAAGTAGTTGCAACCCCTCCCAGCATGGTATCATCTGCAAACTTAATAAGAGTACTCTAAATTGTTGATGAAGATAATGAATAGAACAGGTCCCAAAACAGACCCTTGAATAACCCCTCTTACAGCATGACTGTGAACCTTTAATAACTACTCTCTTAGAATGGTTATCCAGTCAGTTATGCATCCACCTTACAGCTTAGATGGAGCAACTATATTTGCAGTTTATTGATAAGGTCATGCGAGACTATAAGATTTAAGCATTTCAAAACTTCAACCAGTTAATGATTTAACACTTAAGAACAATGAACTTAAAGCACTGCAGTTCAGTGTGGAACTGGCAAAGTTAAGAGTCACTGAAGGAGAATCCATTTTTGGAAGAATGTGTGAAATGTACTACGGCACAGTTCTCCTCTTGTAGAAGTCAGCAAGCCCACAGGAGCCAGGGTAGATCTAAATCAGTGTTTCTCAAAGTGAACCATGGATCCACTCTAAGAAAGCTGCTAAGAGGCCACTCCAGTTTGCTTACTTACAAGCTCCATGGCTGTGGAGTCGGTAAGGATACAAACCAGATTGGCCTGGTAGCAGCTTTCTCAGAGTGGGTCTACGCATCACATTGAGAAACACTGATCTAAGTCCAAGGTGCCTCCCTGTGGCTAATACACCTGATAAGATACACAGGAGGACAACTTTGCTCCAAATTCTATTATATAGACCTGTGGCATGCTAGCCACTAGCCACATGCGACTATTGGGCCGATTGAGTGTAGCCATTTTGCTATAGTGGCTACTGCTGCAGAACTGATTGGACACCACGGATATAGACTATCTAGAATAGGCTTTTGTTTGTTGCTCAGGTTCTTTCAAGCCAGAGGATGACAGCGTGCAGGGTGCAGGAATCAGGGCAGGGGCTTAGGGGAGTGGGCGGGAGGAGGGGCGGTCAGGGCAAGAGACTGGGGGTGTAGGAGGTGCAAGAATCAGGGCTGGGGGTGAGGAGGGGCTCAAGTCAGGGTGGAGGCGCAGGCGTCAAGGCAGGGTGTTGGGAGAAGGGGGCTTCAGGGGAAGGAGATGGGAGGCTCAGGGTAGGGGTTGGACACTGGTTTCTTCCTGGATGCACCCCCAACCACCAGCTTCTCCTTGGGGCCATACCTGGGCAGTGAGGGGCTGCACACTCCCTCCAGGGCCACACTCCCCGCCCGCAGGCTTCTTCCCAGGGCTGGCCTGAGATAGGGGAGGGGGCCACATAGGCTGCCTGTTGCTTCTCTCTACTTCCTTCTCCCCAGGGCCAGCCTAAGGATAGGGAGGGTCGCATAGGCCATCTGCTGGTGCTCCTTGGGGCCAGACCAGGACAGCAGGGGCCATGCGGCAGCTGCTCCCTGGGGCAGGCTGGGGTTGCTGAGCTGTGCTCCCAGCCAGTGGCTGCTTGCTGGGGAGCTTGCTGCCCCTTTGTGGTCATGTGAGTATAACTGTCCCTGCTATCACAACCTTCCCTTTCTGTTTGATGCCCTCCCCTCCAAAAAACCCCCCACATTCCACGCACATCCCCTTTAAGGATGTTAAGTAATGGTTAATAGACTGGTCAAGTAGTTGATGGAATTTCCATCAACTACTGGATAGGCACTTCAGCATTCCTTCTTTGAAATGTAAAAGGGGAGTCCCCAGCTCAACCTGGGCCCCATGTGTGGTAGTACTGCACAGCTGATCCTGGGCTCAGCTGTACAGTGCTGTGCTTTGAAGTACCCTCTTTTCTGCCTCTATCTGATGGAGGCAACAAGCAGGGGAGGGGGGGAGGCAATTAACTAACTATCTGACCAACCCCTCTTATCTGTCCTATGTCCCAAGGGTGCCAGGTCCATCCATCACCATACCTGTATTGGATGACCCCAGGTTGGGTGGGTGGGGCTTGAACCCTCAACCTCTGGAGGCAGGTACTGGAGTAGCCCCTGAATGCCCTATATTCTGGGTCCCCCCTTATCTATCCTATGTATGTCCCAAGGGTGCTAGCTCTGTCCCTCGGGAGCCTGGGTTGGCTGTCCCCAGGGGGAGGCAGGGCTTGAGCCCTTGACCTCTGGCTTCAGAGGGGGGGTACCTTATCAATTGTGCCACTGGAATAGTCCTCCAACCTCCCTACATTCTGTCCATTATCCTGGCACAACCAAACCTTGACCTTGCTTTAAGTTATGATAAGAGGAAGCTGGTAGTCCTAGCTCTTACCATGCAGGGTGAGTTCTTGAACAAATGGACTCAAAGATGGATGGATGGACAGACAGACATAGAAGCAGCTGTATAAGGTCTCAACTTTGATCTACTTTATCAAGTCCTCAAGAGGTATGTTCATATCTGCCTGTCTCTGAGTATATACATGTTGCTGATTTTATTTCATACTTTTTTTAAAGGAAATTTAAATAGAAAAACTGTAACTTACTCTTAAAAGTTGTTTCAGTAATTACTACAACTGCTAGCTCTGTCTGAAACATGAACTTACAAACTCTTCCAAAATATACATCACTAATTATGGTATCATGAGCTTTCC